GCCAAAGGTGAAAGCAACAGTGTCATTGCAGCAGGGCTGCTGCAGCCGTTGTATAGTCATGGCCAAATTAACATTTGCTACTTTCTTCCATTGCATCATGAATTCCACCCACCTCCGTACAGTGACACTTCTCCTGCGGGCAAAACATGGTTATTAGAGTATGTCTCCTTCTTGAGCTCATCTGTGCTTGGTTGATTTATGACCTATTCTTAAATCATTCTTTCATTTAAACAATAAAAGACTAAAAGAACTCTATTATACAAATGTGCAGCCAGTGTCAGTTTTGCCATCCTACTGGTATCTTTTCTCTCTGTGTGTGCTTTGATGCTGGATCATATTTCTGACAGGCTGCAAAAATCTGTATGGGTAAATTGTTGGTACAATAAACATAGCTTTGTTAGCAAATGTCAAGAGACAATCTTAGGACATGGAGTGGGGGGGAAATGCTGTCAACCATTTTCTTAGCAAGAAACTATGGCCCTCAGCACACAGACAAAATACTGTAATTGTCAGGGATGAAAAAAATGCTAATTATTTTTACCGAGTTGAATAGGTGGCTAATGCTTTTGTTTTAAGGAGAATAACTTCTGTATCCAAGAGCATTGGCAAAGTGCCTTGGAATATATATATATATATATATATATATATATATATATATATATATATTCTGTCGCGCGCGCTGGTCTTGTAGAGAATTTCCTTTAAAATAGGACGTGCAACCTTTGCCCAGCGGGAAGCCAGGGGGCCCCAAAGAGAAGCTCTCAGGGATTTTCCACCACAAGTGGTCTTTAGATGGCTTGTGAAGTATAACAAAGTCCTTTATTAATGAACAAACGGAAACTTTTCTTGTCTTCAATAAAGCTAAACAAATGCTTCCAGGCTTTTAAGCAACTGGTGGCTTCCTAATCTTATTATTTATTTATTTATTTCGGTTTCTTCTACCCCGCCCTTCTCACCCCGAAGGGGACTCAGGGCGGCTTACAAAAGCAAAGGCACAATTCGATGCCCGCATCACATAACAGTCGTAAAACAAAATAGTATCAATTCACAGTTAAACAACAATTCCTGCATTACAACCATAAAACCAATAAAATCAATAAAACCAATACAAACCCAATTCCTCCTCAAAAACGGTCAGCATTCGCTATCTCATAGTTCCAATTTCAATTCCACATTGTCCGTCCTTAATCTTGTCCATGAAGGACAGGCAATTGTCTTCAGTAACTATTTCTTTACTTTAAGGAAAATCCCTTTATAACTTCTCCCAGGCTGACTGTAATCTAAGCCTTACTGATGTGGGCTCCGCTACCAGGTCGAACTGCATCTCGAGCACCGAGTGGACCTACCAGTAAAGCCTGTAGATTCTCCAGCTGGAGTTCTTTGGTCTTCCAAACTGTTTATCTTCCGAAATTCCTCAAAGCTTTAGGGCTGTTTCCCTGGAAATCTTTGGAGATCTTTGGATGTTCTTAAGACTGTTCTCCCACGGAAAGTCTTAAGGGTTGAAGTTTTTGTACAAGAGAAGCTTGTACACGTCCTCTAAATTAGCTTTCCTTACTGAGACTAACTAAAAATGGCTCCTTTCCCTTCCCAATTGCCCTGAGCAAGGGGTAGAACCAAAACTTAACAATGATGGACAGGTGACTTGTCCTACGACTGCAACCAAAGGAAACCACCTTTCTGCAGAATCCCTGAAACCTTGGACTGCAAGCAAACATTTAATAAAAAGCAAATAAATTTGGAGCTCCTGGTACAGCCGTGCTAGCACAATATATATTTGTGTGTGTGTGTCTGTGTGTGTGTGTTTAGTACAGTGGTTCCCAACCTGTGGTGTGTGGACCACCAGTGGTCCACAAAAATAAAAATATGGTCCAAGGCCTCACTATCACTACTCCATTGCCTCGAAACCACACGGCAATGAGAGCAACTGATCATGCAATAGAGCCGAGGCAACAGGGATGCCAGGAGGGGAGAGGCTGACTACCCACAAAGGATTACTTCTACCACATCAGCTCTAGATTATTAAATACAGTTTTCTGTGGGTCAGCAGGTGGCTACTACTGGATGGTATATGTTTTTTATCAGAAACCAGAGCTGATGTGGTCTATCCAATGCAATTTTCTGAATCAGCACCCCAAATAACCAAACCAAATCTAAAGTTGATCAAAAACTGATTCGTAACCCTTTTGGTACTAATGTTGGAGAGTGGTCCCTGGTCAAAGTGGTCTCTGGTCAAGTGATCCCTGGTCAAGTGGTTCCTGTTCAAAGTGGTCCCTGGTCAAAAAAAGGTTGGGAACCACTGATTTTGTAAATAATAATAATAATAAAGGGCTGAGAATGGCGGTTAACAAATGCATCAAATAAATAAATAATATTTATTTATACCCCACCACCATCTCCCCCAACAGGTACTCAGAGCGGCTGAGAAACCCACTTAATAAGGGAACAGATTATAGTTTTGCTGATTCTAAAGTTTAAAGGGATTAAGTGACTCTACTTTGTGTTCTGACTTTAAAGCCCACAATACAGTTTGCAAAGAAGATTAGGACAGATTTTGCACACTTCAGCAATTAAAACAGATAAAACAGGAGGGAAATCAGCTCTAGAAAGGTGGACAGATGGTGCCTATTAGTCCATGTGAATTTTATACTGAAGAAAACTTTGAATATGTATTTGAAGGGAAGAAAAAAGATGTTCTAATTGTATTTTACTTCAAAAAGCCGTGGTATGACAGCATGATTCTGAATGTCTGTTCATAATATAGACATTGTGCTTCGTTTTGGGGTGAATGAATGCATTTTACATTCCAAATATTTGAGCTGTAACTCAGTAAGACTATAGAAAGGATGGAGTTTGCTAATCTTAGAGTCCAGGATGGAGCTGGGCTGTCCCACTTAGAATCCCACTTAGAATTACAAGCAACTGCTTGTTTAAAGAGATGTTACACACTTCTTCTAGTGTATGTGGTAGTTTCTTCAGTGTTAACCCCATCAGCTCCTGGCAAATACTTCTCATCTAGCCCTATCTGTGTGCAGCTTTTAATAATGTTGCAGGGAGAATATAAGTTGCTGCCACGTGAGCACAAACATACTATTCAAGATGGTATGGATAAGCATGATAAGGAAAATGAAGGTGCCTGTCCAGAAAATAATCTGTGTTTAGATTCTATATCCACAGGACTTGCTTCTATGAGGGAGGTTCTACATTTGTGTGTTGGAATTTTTAACGTATTTAAAAGAACAAGTAGGAAACAATTTATAGGTTAGGCAAATGAAGTTCATAAAGAGGAGAAATTTACCCCAAGCTACATATTAAATTTCTTGGAAGAAAGTTATAATGTCATGCAAACTCAAATCTAGCAGCAATGATATCATATAGGTTGTGCAGTCTCGAGAGCACAACTCTAGGTGTTGTTATACACATTTCTAATGATAATTTGATGGACAGCTAAGTGCTGCCAGCAAATACATGTTGCAGCTATTCTGACATATCTTCCTTAGTGGATTTTCCATCATAACAACAGTCCCAAGGCCAGGACCCCAACGACGTACTCTCAATGAATCTCGCTGTTTTCTATTTAAATCAAGAATCCTCTGCATTCATAACATATCAATATGCTGTGAAAGGCAGCAGCAGACTTGGGAGGGAAGGAACACCTGAAGTTTGTTGAAACTGTTGTATTTTGGAAAGTCGAAGCACTGGGAAAATATGGGAAATTATAAATGGAAGAGGATATTGAGAGATATTGACAAGCTGGAATGTGTCCAGAGGAAGGCGACTAAAATGATCAAGGGTCTGGAGAACAAGCCCTATGAGGAGTGGCTCAAAGAGCTGGACACGTTTAGCCTGCAGAAGAGAAGACTGAGAGGAGACATGATAGCCATGTATAAATATGTAAGGGGAAATCATAGGGAGGAGGGAGCAAGATTGTTGACCACCCTATACTTTTTGTCAGTTTCCACCTACAGTTTGTTTACACCATGCACTTTCCCCTACCCCAAATGAAGCCTAAACCCCACTGCTCCCCCGTCTTGGGCTCCTCTTTTACAAATACACCTCCTTTACTTCCTATCTCACCCAGGGTTTTAACGTTTTAAAATTTTATCTTGCACATTTGGCCCGCCCTCTGTGATTGATTTTATTATGTTATCTTGCATTGTCTATTTTATTTTGTTGCATTATATATTTTGTTGTGTTTAATTTTTTTATTGTTTTGGATTGTATTTTGCTGTATTATTCCTGGGCTCGGCCTCATATTAGCCACCCTGAGTCCCCATTGGGGAGATAGTGGCGGGGTATAAATAAAGTTTATATTATTATTATTATTATTATTATTATTATTATTATTATTATTATTATTATGATGACACAAAAGCTCAGTATGTCACAGAAAATAAGATCTATATGCTGGATTTCGTATGACAAAATCACAAGTTAAACACTTCCCAAGCGTCTAGGACTGTGTGATGTATTATTATTATTATTATTATTATTATTATTATTATTATCTGCTGCCCTGGAGACTAGGACACAGAACAATGGCTTCAAACTACAGGACAGGAGATTCCACCTGAACTTTAGGAAGAACTTTCTGACTGTGAGAACTTTTCTAGCTGTGGAACTCTGTGCCCCGTAGTGTGATGGAGGCTCCTCCTATGGAGGCTTTTAAACAGAGGCTGGATGGCCATCTGTTGGGGGTGCTTTGAACGTGATTGTCCTGCATCCTGGCAGGAGGTTGGACTGGATGGACCATGAGGTCTCTTCTAACTATGATTCTAGGAAAAAAAATAAGAAGATAAACAACTGAATGGTGATAACAGAGCCTTGTGCTACCTCTGTTAACATTCAGCAAAGTATGCTCACATTAAATTAGGGACAAGTGTTGCAAGTGTAACAAATTTCGTGTATAAACATCATTTGGTAGCATGGTGTTCTTTTATTTGGTTTGTTTAAATATTGGTATATATAATGTCTGTTCTTTTCTTTCTTTTCTTTCTCCTTAGGCCTTGAATAGAGGTATCGCAGCTGTTAAGGAAGATGCTGTGGAAATGCTAGCCAGCTATGGGTTGGCCTATTCCCTCATGAAGTTTTTCACAGGTCCAATGAGCGACTTCAAAAATGTGGGACTGGTGTTTGTCAACAGTAAGAGAGATAGGACCAAAGCGGTTTTGTGTATGGTTGTGGCTGGTGCTATAGCTGCCATATTTCACACTTTGATAGGTACGTCTTCTTTTCAAATGTTGATTGAAATTCTTCTCCTTCTCCTTCTCCTTCTCCTTCTTCTCCTTCTTCTCAATGTTGTGGTGGCTGTTTTCTTATGTATATTTTCCAAGTAAGTTTGAAGGAACAGAGAAAGACCTTACAGTTAGATTATTTAATTAGATTTCTACCTATTGATTGAAAATATTGTCAGTTGACTGATGGTACTTCCAGATCTTCATAAGGTGTACAACAGTGATGGCTTCAAGGACTTCTTCTTGGCTGTGTCTCACTATCCAAATCATATATAAACAAGATTGCAGGATTATCAAAGTGACAGATTGACAATTGTAAAGGGTAAGCAGATGGTCACCCAAAAGAGTGAGAAGTTATCAGACCAAATTATTCAGTACTACTCCTTCTTCATCATCTACACGAAATGATGGACATTTTACGAGAAGTGGGAAAATGGAAAGTGACAACTGAAGGTGGTTAGAAAGAACTCAGCTCTGGACAACAAAACATGAGATTAAAATTGTACTGAGCCCAGCTCAGCCTGTATGTAGAAGCCAGCTATCCAGAATGTTATCCTTTTATCTGGTTTGTAGGAGGTAAAAGACACATCTCACTTTTCCCACTGGGAAAATATGGGAAATTTATATTTGCCCAAGACCTTTGGAAGGTCTCAAGTTAGAGAGTGCCCATGCAATCATGCTTGACATAGCCCTCAGCTTCGCTGTAGTAGTGCTTCTTCATGTCAGAATCCCAATCCATAGCAAGGTAGGGTTGGGAATTAAAGGAAAGACTGATGCCCTCATCCTGGCTAGCCATTCGATCATTGGTACCGTTCGAATTGATGTGATGGAGGGTGAAAAGCAACTTTTGTCGCTTTTGCAGCAACCAACATTTGCATTTAACTTTTAGTGCTGATTAGTTTCTTGTATTTTATGAGATGTGTAAGAATTTTTTGACTTCTCAGATGCACCCTAAACATAAACTGATTTTGTGTAAAATTTCTTCTACTTGGGAAAAGGTGTGCTTTACACATACTCAGAGGCAGTTTCAGAAAAACTGAAGGACAGATTATCCATGGAAATTATTGACATTGGTAAAATTATATTGGGGAATTTAAACTCTGTGAGTCTGCTTATAAGCATTGGGATGAGCATGGTTATAAGCATGGTTGAGATGGGGGTAGGACCGAGAGCAGGGCCTCCTCCGCTAACTGCAGTGCACAGGATGGACTATATAAGGAGATGCAATTGGAAAAATAGCATTTTTGTCTGTAATTACTCTCATTTATAGTGGAAGTAAACAAATCGAGAAGCTTCATTTTGTGACTGGCTTATTGTGTTGTCTGCAGTAGGCTGTCTTTCTTCCTTGGTTTATTTCCCTCCAGGTGGGCTATGTTCTCTGCTTGTTGTGGGGGCAGAGGAACAAGCCAGAGAAGGAAGATGTCTTCTGTAGGGTGAGACAGTAAATCAGTTGTGGGGTGAAGCTCTATGGTTTATTTAACTACACCCACTGCAAGTGGGAGCAACTTAGCAGCTTACGCCAGCATGCTGCACGACAAGTCAGCACTGTTGTCATGAAGTCCAGGCTTGTAGTGTCAGGGAATGTTGGGTGGGAGTGTCAAGTGGGTGTATAATAATATTTTTCCAAATAAAAATGAGAAAAATATACTATAAAACAGTACTGGCAGAGGATATATGTGTGTGATATTATATGTACCCAAAAATATTATTTTAACAGTATTTTTTCAAGTATGGTAAGGATATAAGATCAAGCTACACTACGTCACAGCATTTCTAGGCTACTTGATGAATCACATTAGGAGTGAACGTCTCCTAAATTGAAGTTTACCAAACTAGTTGCTATTGCGATGCTGCAGTGGAGGCAAGTTCCTGTGCTGACTTCAGTATCCCCTTGTTTGCTATATGCCTTCAAGCTAATTCCAATTTCTGGTGATCCTATAATAGGGTTTCCTTGGCAAGTTTTATTCAGAGTACTGTATACTTGCCATTTTCTTCCTTTAAGATTGAGAGAGTGACTTGCCTACTGTCGGTCAGTGAGATTCCAAGGCTGAACAGGAATTTGAATCCTTATCTCTCAAATTCTAGCCATGCTGGCTTTCTCCTCCCCTTTACAGTGGTTTCCAATTTTTAGTCCTTCAGATGTTTTGGACTTATTTATTATTTATTTATTTTATTTCGGGTATTTCTGCCCCGCCCTTCTCAACCCTGGGGGGGGGGGGACTCAGGGCGGCTTACAGAGGCACAATTTGATGCCGGCACCAACATAAACAATAAAATAAAGCATGAATAACAGCAATTAAACAATTAAAACATCAATTAAAACATCACATCAATAAAACCATTCTAACGCACAGCGTTCAGCGTTCGCTCAGCGTTCAGCGTTCAACTCCCAAAAAATCCCAGCCATCTTACCAGCTGTTAGGAATTATGGGAATTGAAGTCCAGAATACCTGGAGGACCAAAGGTTGGGAACCACTGTCCTAGAATGATGTGAACATCTACTGTATTATTAAAATGACTATGCAAATGCCTTTTTAAACACATTGGTGAATCCTTACCCTTTTTTATCGATAGTAWCCTCAAGCATAGAAACATAGTAGTTTCTATTATCAGGACCATGGAACTGAGAGAACGTCAGCTCTCACATTTAGTGGATAACTACATTCTGTACCAAGATGCCTTATAATACAGTCCTTTCTGGAGTTTTGTTTGTTTTCCAGGCTGTATGCTTGTGTTCTAGCAGCATTTTCTCCTGATGTTTCACCTGCAATTGTGGCTGGCATCTTCATAGGATCCTCTGAAGATGCCAGCCACAGATGCAGGTGAAATGTCAGGAGAAAATGCTGCTAGAATACAGCTGCTGCTAGAATACAGTCATACAGCCCAGAAACCACACAACATCCCAGTGATTCCAGGCATGAAAGCCTTTGACTTTACAATACAGTCACTTGGTTTACTTAGCAATATATACTATACAGTTAATTATGGTTTATTCCAGGTAGGGGAACCTAGAAGTACATTGAAGCTACACTGTGAGTTTAACAATGTGTTGACATGCCTGGGAACACTATATATATTTCCTCAAATTAGATTAGTTCAAGAAGATTAGCTGATGGCAGTCTTGAGGCTGTGTGACATTTCTGACATTCCAGCTTTTCCTTACGTAAGTATGTAGTCATTGATTTTCAGAATTGCCACCAGGGTTGCCGACACTTGGCTAGAAAATACAACCTTTATCCAGAGTCAGCTGCAGAGATTAGGCAGTAGCAGTCTATACTTAGTTGTTTGATAAGACCTTTAGAACCAAAATAGTATCGTGCTCGAGGAAGATTTCCTTCTCATAGTGAAAGTCACATGGATCGAGTGTAGATTTACTAGGAGCTCATGGTTTTAGATGATAATGGCACAATTTTGGGTGGCTGTGTTTGTGAGCAGTATTTCTAGTTTCCTCTCCCCAAACCATCTGTGATCTGAAGAAGAATGAGGCATTTTAGCCTCTTTGAGTAAGGATATGAAGAGAAGGAAAGGTCCCAAATGTCAAAATCAATCCCCCCACCCCACTAGTATTAAAATGTGGCTGCTGTATCGGGTATTTGTGCCAAATTTGGTTCAGATCCATTGTCATTTGGGTTCACAGTGCTCTCTGAATGTAGGTGAACTACATCTCCCCTAAATTGTTGTCAATTCCTGCCAAACCCCTCCAGTATTTTCTGTTTGTCATGGGGATTCTGTGTGCCAAGTTTGGTCCAGACCTGTCATTTGTGGGGGTCTCAGTGGTCTGTGGAAGTCAGAGCTGAATCAGTTGAAAGTACTGCAAATCCCATCATCAGTTGTCCATGCTCCCTCAAACATAATGTTTTTGTGATCTCTATGCTTTAATTATGTCCAGTTTGTAACAATGAAAATCCATCCTGCATATCAGATATTTCCATTATGATTCATAACAGTAGCAAAATTATAATTATGAAGTAACAACAAAAATAATTTTATGGTTGGGGGTCACCAGAACATGAGGTACTTTATTAAGGGGTCATGCCATTATAAAGGTTGAGAACCACTGTTTTAGAGCTTCAAAATGTGATTTTGGAATACATTGAACCCTCCACATATGCTGGAGTTCAGGGCACAGGACCCCACAAAAGTGGAAAAACGTCTAATAACACCCCCCCCTCCTTATTATTTGCCCAAGAGAGCACTAGGATTCATGGAGGGGACGTACGAGGGTTGACTGAAAAGTAATGCCTCCACCTTTGTAACTCCTCAGCAGATGGCAGTACTGGTATGCAGCAGGTACTGGCTTGTTCAGTAGACTCTCCTCTACAGTTCCATTTCGGCAGGAAGCCTTAGCATTAGACAGTTGTGTTGTTAAAGTGCGAAGTATGGAACCCTGCATAGACAGTCGGTTAATGCGACTTAAGCAACATGCAGTCATTGAATTCTTGACAGCAGAAGGTGTCACCCCAAAGGAGATTTATTTATTTATTTATTTATTTATTTATTTATTTATTTATTTATTTGGGGTGCTTCTACCCCGCCCTTCTCAACCCCCTAGGGGGGGACTCAGGGCGGCTTACAAAAGGCACAATTCGATGCCCAACAGTTCACTTAATACAATATACAAAATACAATATAACGACAACAGTTATAACTAGTTAAAACAATCAAATTAATACAATAGCAGCAATTAAATCATCTTGTGGTCAACGTTCGCCAATTCATAAATCCATAATCCATCTAGCATTGTCATTGTCCTTTCCTACTCTGGTCGTCATTGTCTTTTATCCATCTGCTAGCTTACCCAAAGGCCTGGTCCCATATCCAGGTTTTTAACTTCCTTCTGAAAGAGAGGAGGGATGTTGATGACCTAATTTCCCCAGGGAGTGTATTCCACAGGCGAGGGGCCACCACCGAGAAGGCCCTCTCCCTCGTCCCCACCAGTCTTACTTGTGATAAAGGTGGGGCTGAGAGCAGGGCCTCCCCAGAAGATCTTAAACCCCGAGGTGGGACGTAGAAGGAGATACGTTCGAAAAGGTATGCTGGGCCGGAGCCGTATAGAGAATGCAAGCTGTTTATGGTGATTGTGTTGATGTGAGTAGTGTGCATCGTTGGGCGAGAAAGTTTAAAGATGTTGAGGTGGGAACATTTGACTTGTGTAACAAACAAAGAGTTGGACATCCTGTGACAGCAACCTCTGAGTTTCACAAGCCAAAGGTTGACAGATTGATTCAGGACGATCATCCTCCATACAGTCCAGATTTAGCACCGTCTGACTTCCATCTGTTCCCAATAATGAAAGAAAATCTGCAGGGACATCATTATGCTTCAGATGAAGACGTTGAGACTGTGAGATGCTGGTTGCGGAAACAGAGTGTTGACTTCTTCCGTGACGGCTTCGGAAAACTTGTTCATCATTGGCAGAAATGTATCCAATTGTCTGGTGATTATGTGGAAAAGTGAATAGTCGTAGTTAAAGAGCACATTCTAAGAATTATTTGATTTATTAAAATATTCCCATCCAAACCCAAGTAACGAAGGTGGAGGCAGTACTTTTCATTCAACCCTTGTATAGTGATAATATCTGTAAATAATTAAATCCACAAAAGTCAAGCTCACAAATATAGCAGGCCAATTGGAACTAAATTCTTGTCTGTCCCTGCTACTCAATGAGCTCAAGAGGACATACAGAAAGAATGAGCTATTTAAATTTGTTTTTGAGCATTGCAGGCACCTGGAAGCAGAGGGGAAAAAAAATCTCTCTTGCTGCTTTTGAGTGCCCTCCCAGCATGGCACAGAATGAGTAATTCATGCAGCCTGTGCTGTATTTTGATGGCATGTGGAAACTTCAAAAAAAGGCTTCTTGCTGCTGAAAGTGCCAACATATTCTGGCAGAAAAGCAAATGGCCTTCCTAGTTCCTACTTCTATTAAGTCCGTACATATATCAGAGACTTTGGGTTGGATGAGGCTGCACTTCTTCCCCCGGCACAAAGCCAAGGCCCTCTCGTGCCAACCATAACCGCATTGAGTCGCCGAATTAGGCTGAAAATGCGGTATAAAAATAAAGTAAATAAATAAATAAAATATCTGTGACTTTTAGCATTATATTTTGTCTTTGCATGTTGCATTGCATTTTATGATCTGTATATTCATGAGCTTGGAGAGCAGTGTTTCAGCTGTGAAATTTTCTAATCGTACTTAACAGACTGTCTGATTCAGTCTTTACTGGATCTCATATTGGTTGTCAAGACTAACCAATATTTCATAGGAAAAGGAAATTGCATTTTTTTGTGCTTCTTATGGGAATTTGCCACAGTATCATTTTGGGCTCTGTTATAAATAGGATTGCTATAGTACTTTCTTAGCTCCTGAAATATGCTGGTGTTATCATAAAGAATGTGAGAAATAGCATCATTTAGAAAAATGTGTTTAGCCACAATGGCAACATTATAGTTCTGATTCGGTGATTTTCATATTAAAACCTTGGCTCCAGCCAACTTGAGAGCTACTCAGATGTAAGAAAACTGGGGTTTGGGAGAGTTTTTGCAAAAATGAATGGGGAACAGTGTGTTGTTGAAGGGTTTCATGACTGGGTTCACTGGGTTGCTGTGAATTTTCCGGGCTGTGTGGCCATGTTCCAGAAACATTCTCTCCTGACATTTCACCCACATCCTCAGAGGTTGTGAGGTCTCTTGGAAACTAGGCAAGTGAGGTTTATATATCTGTGGAATGTCTATGAAATTGGCCAGCTAATCAAGGTGGCCAATTCCAACATTCACACTTGCCTCCAACAGACAAGAGTTTTTCCTCCAACCCTGGACATTCCACAGATAGATAGATAGATAGATAGATAGATAGATAGATAGATAGATAGATAGATAGATAGATAGATAGATAGTTTTTTGGTTTTTTTTGTCGTGTCAAGAGCAACCGCTCCTGTTGTGAGAGAATTGGCCGTCTGCAAGGACGTTGCCCAGGGGACGCCTGGATGATTTTTTGATGTTTTATCATCCTTGTGGGAGGCTTCTCTCATGTCCCTGCATGAGGAGCTGGAGCTGATAGAGGGAGCTCATCCGCCTCTCCCCGGATTCAAACCTGCGACCTGTCGGTCTTCAGTCCTGCCGGCACAGGCTTTAACCCACTGCGCCACCGGGGGTTCCGATAGATAATTTACTGTATTTGTATACCGCCCTTCTCATCCCGCACTTGCCTAGTTTCCAACAGACCTCACAACCTCTGAGGATGTCTGCCAAATATGTGGGCAAAATGACAGGAGATAATGCTTCTGGAATATGGCCACACAGTCCAGAAAACTCACAGCAACCCACTGAATGAGTAGCAGTCACTGTGGAGAGAAAAAATGAGCACATCAACAAACCAGAGCTTGGCAGTAAATCAGTGAAAAGTAATTATCCCCCCCCCCCCCGTAGCATTTTAAACAACACTTATAGCTGTTAATTAAAGTATTAAATGCATCAATTAATGTTTCACATTATTTTAATTTGCCAGTTTAGGAAATAAATACCGTTTTTCTTTTTTCAACATTTTAGGTAATTTGAATAGTTTGAAAAATAAAATTTGTTTGTAATGCACCATGAAGAGTTAGCATGACAAATTACTGTTATAATTCTAACTAAAAAGACAAACATGAAATGAGTAATTTCCATATTCTCAGTAACATTAATTAATTAACATAAATGCTACAATTTTTCAGCTTCCCACTTACTAGTATCCTACTAGCAGGGCCATAGCCAGAAAAAAAAATAATCCATGTGTGTGTGTGTGTGTGTGTATGTGTAATTTTTTTTTTAAAGCGAATCATGAAGCATACTTCCATAACACAAAATAATTTAAACAGTATGGTTCATTCTACATTTTATATAGACTTAATTAAATCAATTGTTGGTCTCCTTCATGGGGGGGCTTCAAATTCCTCCCATGCCTTAGGCCAGTGGTTCTCAACCTGGGGTCCCCAGATGTTTTTGGCCTACAACCCAGAAATCCCAGCCAGTTTACCAGCTGTTAGGATTTCTGGGAGTTGAAGGCCAAAAACATCTGGGGACCCCAGGTTGAGAACCACTGCCTTAGGCTTTGCCTGCCAGTTATGGGTGGGTCAACTTGGTTGCTTCCACTATATCAGCTATTGCTGCAAGAAATGACTGTGAATAAATTATCAAAATTTGCTAGTGATTGTGCTTGCAGTTCTGGGGACTTTTTTAATTTGTGCTTCTCATAGACATAACAGGGGGATTTGGTTAACTAGCTAAAATTCATGAGTAAACCAGGTTTTTTTTAACCTAAAAAATTTCGGGGGGGGGGATGGGTTGAACCCTAAACCTTCCCCCCACCCACCCTTGGCTACAGCCCTGCCTACTAGGGAGCAGAATCACTTTGGGAGCCTTTTTGTAAGAAGGAAAGGACAAAAACAAGCTAAAATACTGTAGTGGAAAAGATATGGTGCCCCTTCCAGCCTGTGACATTCCACAGATATATATACTAGGAATTGGCTGTGCGATTATGGCAAAGAATTCCAAGACATTGCCTTGGTCAATTCATTTCACATCCGTCAACATTTCAAAGATGAGAACTGGGACATGCATAGCCAGGCAACATCAGAGTGTGGTCAAAATGGCAAAAGTAATAAATGGGAATGAACAGAACATAGAAGTTTGCTTTTTGAGGGAAGCATAGGAATCACCCCTTCCTCTTCTCCATGCTCAGTGGAGTGCAGTTGACTTTTGCACTTTAAACCCAGCTATAAATTGGGATAGTAGATTAATTGTGACAACCCTATGTCAGGAAAGGTGAACACAATGTGATTTTGCTAGGAAATGATATTGGGGTGGGGGGCAGAGAGGATGAAGCTCATTTTTGTGTGTGCCACCAGGATCCAAAAATGGCCACAATGCTCCCATAATACTATACACTTTCATTTATATTCCACTTTTCTCCTCAGGGGACTCAGAGTGTATTATAGCATTTACATACATAGGCAAACATTCAATTCCTTTACAATCATATACAATGAGATTGTAACATACACAAACAAAGGCAGAGGCTTCTCCTTTCATTTCCAGCTTCTGGAGGCGGTGCTCATCTCTGGCTCTGGAGAGGTGCTTTTTCTCTCTGTTTTCAAGCCGAGGAGCCTGTGTTGTCACCTCCTGGTCGTGTGGCTGGCAGGATTGCTTGGAACATCTCTTTTCCTTTTCCCACCAAAGTGGTACTTATTTACATACTCACATTTGCATGTTTTTGAACTGCTAGGTTGACAGCTAGGACTGACAGATGGGAGTTCACCCTGTCTCACGGATTCAAACTGCCAACCTTCAGGTCGGCAGTTCAGCAGCACAAGGGTTTAACCCATTGTGCTACCGTGGCCCCAGTCTAGGAGCATGGGAGAATCTCTCTGACTTATTTTAGGCCTAAGAGATGCTTTTTGAGGACATTTTGTAGTCAATCAATCAATCATTCCAAAGATTATGGCCATAGGCTTTATCTTTGCAGTGTCCCATGGGGAGCTGTTGTGTTCCTGATACTTGTCCTCCATATGATAAAGATTCCTTGTATTAGTTTGGCAGCAGTTGATGTAATTTAAAACAAGTTACTGTGTGGATAGATCTATATGTATCATTCCTGAGTTGATTGCTTCTAAATAATTTCATCACCAGTGTCATCCATCAGGGCAGTGATATTGATGACAATGATATTGATGCCTCTTTTGATCATAAGGGACCAAATGCATTCATGATATTATTTTGTTATTGCATTCTACAGCATACAGTGATCTGGGGTACTACATTATTAACAAGCTGCATCATGTGGACGACTCGGTGGGAAGTAAAACACGCAAGGCCTTCCTTTATCTTGCAGCCTTCCCATTTATGGATGCCATGGTGAGTCCGTAACTTAGATTATACTCATTGGTTTTGGAGAATTTGGGGGAAAGAGATATATTTCCATTCAAAGAAGCAAAAAACACATTAACATTTGAAGTATCACTATTCAAATGACTACTCGGATCTGAGCTTCATGAACTCTGTAATTAAAGCAGCAAATTATTATTATTATTATTATTATTATTATTATTATTATTATTATTATTATTATTACATACATTTCTATCCTGCCCACAAGGGGACTGAGTTAAACAGGAGTATTTCTCAGTCTCAAAACTTCCTAACAGAGTGTAGTAATGGTACTCTTAACTGATTCTGTGACTCTAACAATCACTATTTTTACCCACAACTTTCCCTTTAACTTAGATGACCCTTTCATTCTTGATCAGTGGTTCCCAAACTTTTATTGACCATGGACCACTTGACCAGCGACCACGCTCCAACATTCGTACCAAAAGAGTTACAAATCGGTTTTTGGTCAACTTTAGATTCAGTTTGGTCATTTGTGGTGCTGATTCAGAAAATTGCATTGAATAGACCACATCAGCTTTAGTTTCTGATACAGAACCTGCATCCAGTAGTCGCCATCTGCTCACCCACAGAAAACCATATTTAATAATCTAGAGCTGATGTGGTAGTAGTAATCTTTCATGGGTAATCAGTCTCTCCCCTTCCGACATCCCCGTTGCCTTGGCACTATAAGAGGGTTTCCCAACACCAGTTGGTTTTGTTGCCACATGATTTTGAAGCAACGGCGTAGTAATGGTGAGGCTGCGGACTATATTTTCATTCTTGCAGACAACTGGTTGTCCATGAACCACAGCTTGGGAACCACTGCGCTAGATCTTGAAACTGCAGTCTTACTTTTCCACATGCCTGTCCTCACTATGTGGACTCTTGAGTGCATAGGCTTGTCTTGGCAGCTTTTACTATCTGGTAATGCAGGAAATTAAGTCCAGTAGCATCATGTATTCTAGAATTGTGAAAGATGGGTTAGCAGAATGTTGGAAACTATAGAATGTTTGAACAATGAAGGCACTTTGCATCCCAGGTTCCTGAAGAGATCACTAGGAGTCCTTTGGAAGGTCATGACTTAAAGGGGGTAAACAATATTTTTAGTTGTAAATATAATAATTTTATTTAGGAGTTCCCTGAAATGTTAACATTATTTCAGTGATTTCTCCCTGATGAAAAGATTGAGAAAGGCCTCCCTAGAGGATTCCATTAAATACTAACTGTGCCATCTCCATCATTTCATCCACACTCTGAAGTTAAAGGTATCTGTAGTCACCCTGATATTTTTTTCTATTTCAGGCTTGGACCCATGCAGGCATTCTTCTGAAACACAAATATAGTTTTCTAGTGGGATGTGCCTCCATCTCAGATGTCATAGCTCAGGTACGGATGCATTCCAATCATAGCTTTTTCTTCTGCTGAAATGATCTAGCCAATTCTATGCCATACCTGTGCTTGGATGCAAAATTGCATACAAAAGTGGGCTATTCTTCCATAATTAGGTTGAAAATTGTGCTTTCTGGTGTGAATGTTAAGGAAGGGATACAAAAGATATGTGAAATGTTACGGGCTTTAACTTTACTAGCTGTGTCAAGTTGTCCTATATATATATTTACAGTTATACTTCTGTTACTGAATAGACGTGTCTGGTTATATTGATTTTTATTTGTATCATAGTATTGTGAAGAAATAAATATATAGTAGGCTCTGCATTTTCTGGAATTAGGGGTGAAGAACACCTGCAAAGTGGGAAAAGTGCGAATAAAAATATTTATGAACACTCTAGGAATCTCATTTTTCCTGCCCCGTTGCCTGCTCCCCGTTGCTCCCTCAATTTAGCAATGAGCCAAGAAAATCCCACTTAAAGCAAACATTTTTGTTATTTTACATTGATTGCAGCTGCTGGCTGTTGACTTTTCACAACATTGGGAAGAGGGGAGAATGTTGCAACCCACATCTCAATCCTGAGTAGCAAAATTGCCCCTTGATATAAAAGTTGCCCACTCTTGTCCTGAGCTAGCACTAACATCCTGTTTTCTTCCTCCTAATACTTACAAAGAAACTATTCTAAAAACTCACTAAAATTGTGTTCATGTGCCATAGTACTATGTAACAAAATTTGAAAAAAAATATGTTCCTGGTTTGAAAGTGTTATTTATTGCTTAACTGTGTGGTACTTACTTTGAAAGTAATTGTTATACTCCAGAAATTTCATTTCTGTGGCTGCCATTTTTAACCTTTCAATGTGCCATTTTATGATGATGATGATTATTATTATTAATAATAATAATAATAATAACACTTTATTTGTATTCTGACTTTCTCCCCATGGGAACTCAGAGTGGATTACAGTGTAAACAGATATCAGCAAACATTAAACACCTTGTTACAATACAACCAGACACACAAAGGCAGAGGCTTCTCCTTTCATTTCCGGCTTTAGAGGTGGTGCTCATCTCTGGCTCTGAGGAAGGTGCTGTTCTCTATTTCCAAGCCAAGGAGCCTGTGTTGTCACCTCCTGGCATGACTGCTTGGAGCGTCTTATGCCTTTCCCACTCTGTTTTCGAACTGCTAGGTTGGCAGTATCTGGGCAAACAGTAAGAGCTTACCCCACCCCACGGAGAGCGAACTGCTAACCTTCAGGTCAGCAATTCAGCAGCATAAGTTTTTAACCCATTGCGCCACCACAGCCATTTTAAACTTTTTATACAGAACACAAAAACAAAGATCTTGCAGTTTATTAAACTTTTTTTTCACATAGAACCAATTAGGAAATGACATTTATAAACCAAGAACAAAAATCGTGTTACATAGTGTAATAACATTTGGATGATAACCGCTTTTGAAGGCTATGGATTAACAACAACAACAACAACAACAACAACAAAATAGGAAGCACAGGCCATTTTTAAGACTGATCCCAGACATCTTCTTCAGACTATATCTAGTAGCAAAGACATCTAGATAATATCTAATATTCAGTACATAATGGCTGTATCTAAAGTTGTTTCATTTTCTAAGAGGAAGTTAGTGGAATCGCCATGGCACAACGTGTTAAACCACTGAGCTGCTGAACTTGCTGACTGGAAGGTTTGCAGTTCGAATCTGCGGGATGGGTTGAGCTCCCACTGTTAACCCCAGTTTCTGCCAACCTAGCAGTTCAGAAACATGCAAATGGGGGTAGATCAATAGGTATCGCCTCGGCAGGAAGGTAAATGGTGCTCCATGCAGTCATGTCAGCCACATCACCTAGGAGGTATCTATGGACAATGCAGGATCTCCGATTTAGAAATGTAAATGAGCACCACTTCAAGAGCTTGAGATGAGCACCATCCCTCAAGAGTCAGAAGGGGAAACCTTGACCTTATCTGTGTTTCAGGCATTGAATGTTTGCCTTGTGTTGTGTATGCTGGAATCCACCCCGAGACCCCTCAGGGAGATAGGGTGGGATACAAACTTATTATTATTGTTATTATTTTCTAGCTGTCCCCTGCCATGTGTTGCTGTGGCCCAGTGCTTTGTGTGTGTATATATTTGTGTAAATGTGTATATATGTGTGTTTGCATATATATATGTGGTTTTGCGCATGCATGGTAATGTAATTTTGGGGGTTTTTTTTGCTATTTAAGTCTCTTCTGCTGTGTTTTTCAGTGTTTTATAAGTGATGGTCACTTGTTGGCCTGATACGAGCATTGTGTCCAAATTTGGTGTCCATTTGTCCAGTGGTTTTTGAGTTATGTTAATCCCACAAATGAACATTACATTTTTATTTATATTATTATTATTATTATTATTATAAATTGAAATTATGTTCATGTAACCCATCTCTTTTTCTTTTCCTTTACTTTCTCTGACAGGTTGTTTTTGTAGCCATTCTGCTCCATAGTCACTTGGAATGCAGAGAACCTCTCCTTATCCCCATATTGTCCTTGTACATGGGAGCGCTTGTCCGATGTACCACCTTATGCCTGGGATACTACAGAAACATACATGACATCATACCTGACAGTAGCGGGCCAGAGATGGGGGTATGTGTTCCTACCTTAGTAAATCTAACTCTATTGTTCAGTCCAATACCTTAAGCAATAAGAATGATGAAATTACAAGCCTGGGAAAGTGTTTTATTAGTTCATCTGCCAGAGTTCATTTGCTCACATGTGCAAATGCAGCACATTAAAAAGTAGAAAAATAAAGAAGCCAACCCTTCCAAGGTTGTGTGGTAACTAGATTTGAATATTTATGAGGCAGATTGTGACCAGGACTGCTTCTGAATTTATCAGTTTATTGTGGGATTGTTGTGATGCCTTCAGTCATGTTTTGGGGAGAGATATGGCAGGGTTCACATGTCACTGTTCATTGGTAGGCCTCCTGAATTTCCCAGTGTACCTGCCAGACTTCATATTGCGTTTAGATTTTTTTCTTTTTTCTTTTGAAATAATAGGCATCCTGACATTTTAGGAAGTATGGATGAGCAAAGAAGTACCTGCAATACATACACCTGTGGGGAAAACCCATTTTAAGAAGCACAATGTTGATGTGACTTACTAGATTTGGGAACTTCTCATGGCTCATCCCATGTGCAGAGCAACCATTCTTAGTGAATCATAGTGAATATGCTGGGTTTTTTAAATCTATCTTTTTGTAATGCAAACATGTTTGCCTGGCTGTATTTTTGTGTTAACAAAAACCCTAAATTGGTAACAAAGCAAAACATAAATGAAAGTTTTTTCTAGCATTGTACCCCACTAATGCTGTGATAAAACATGATTATAGGAAGCTCTTTTTTTCACACAAAGTATGGTGGTTAATAGTGGGAATGATAAAGAAGATTCCTAAAATCAGCATCATATAATTAAAATCATCACCACCATCACCATAATGTACTTTAAATGCTACTTCCAATAAAAAAATGCATTCAAACAATGTATGTTTATATAATATTTAGTTAGATGTTAGAATTAAATGCCCAGAATTGCAATAACCTAGATTGGATAGGCTTCTGATTAGAATCTCTGACTCCCTTTTGACTTACTGTATATTCCGGCATATAAGACAACTGGGCGTATAAGACGACCCCAACTTTTCCAGTTAAAATATAGAGCTTGGTATATACTCGCCGTATAAGACTACCCCTCTTCCAACGCACACCAATTTTTTTAAAGCATCAGATTTGATTTTAATATGGTAATTTTCCTATTACTGTACCTCCTTCTCTGCCTCTCAGATCTCACACATGCGCACCTGCACTGCTTCACTGCAGTCTTCAGGAGCGAGATCTGAGAGGCAGAGGAGGAGGTATGGTAATAGGATACAAGGGCAGGCCAGACAGGTAAAAGAGGTATGTTTTTCTGGGCCCAGAGCCACTCTATCTCTTTTTTCCATACCCCAGGCACCCCGGATGCCTGCAACTCGCTCCGGCCTTCAGTTACACCTTCCCGGTTAGGCACCTCTTCACCTCACCATCAGGACCGCATTAAATCAACGTATCCTAATGAATGGTTTTTCTTCTACCGTACTTGTACAGCATCGGCCTTAATGCTTTCATACAGTCGCTGCATGTGGCAGGGATGCAGCCGCTGCCATTTTTGAGCTCCCCCCATCATATGTGGCAACCATAGATTCTCCAATCCAGATTGGAAGTTTCAGCACCCACTCTATAAGACTACTCCTAGCGTATAAAACTACTCCCAGCATATAAATCTACTCCCGGTGTATAAGACAACCCTTACTTTTGAGAAGATTTTCTTGGGTTAAAAAGTAGTCTTATACACCAGAAAATATGGTACTTGGGAAGGTATTTTGCATGCATACTCTCACACGCACTTCTTTCTGTTCTTGTTCCTACAATACTAATCTTTTATCAAATATATTATTTAGCTGTGTTCTGATATTTGGCTCACAAAGATGTCTTCTTATTCTACCCACAGGGAGATGCTACGATAAAAAAGATGCTAGGCTTCTGGTGGCCCTTGGCATTAATTCTCGCCACTCAAAGGATCAGTCGGCCTATTGTCAACCTCTTTGTATCCCGGGATCTGGGTGGCAGCTCAGCAGCCACAGAGGTATGAGTCTTTGAAAAGCAAATAGCTCAATATCCTTATAGAAACCCAGACTTGGTTCTGTATTTCCTTCACAATTCTGTAGCAATGCCGTTAAGCTATTGACAATATTAACTTTCCTTGGGTATAAAAAATACTGCAAATAGTATAAATCTGTGCATCTTTCTTGGTGACTTCTGTAACTACATTTCCCCCCTAATTTATCTTGACTAAACCCAAAATAGGCATTACCTGGAATGCCGTGTTACTTTTCCTCTGCGTTATTATTCTAAAGGCAACCTCAGGAAGCTATTCGTTTGAATAGAAGAAGTGTAGGTGGATAGTTGCTGTTTAAACTCTTTTTATCATTTTGGTTATCACGTCAGAGTCATCTTGCACACTCTGTTTTTTCCCTTCTAGAAGAGACAATAAATTGACTATGTGTGTCTTTTTCCATGGGTGAATACAGAACTTGTGGAGTGCAAGTTTGAGTGGGAGGAATGACTGCTTCCTTCTGCTAATGTATTTCAGTTTTAAAAAAGCAATTAAAAGGGTAACACGGGATCCTTTTTATGCTTAATTAGACATTTAGCTGAACATTGTGGGGTGGGGGGGGGTATCAATTTATCGGATTTTGAAAAATGCATTCAGTGAGCTTATAAACTTGTACACAACTTTCATTTTAAGAGTTTGTTGTTTCACTGAATCATACTTTGCATGGAGCATCTGTGAACAATTGTGAAAACTCTAAAATTAGGACAGTAAATAAGAGCAACACACAAAAAACAGAGCAATTCCAGACAAGAAGAAATCGGGGCCAACTAACACCTCCCAACAAAGGTTCCCCCAGGCAGCAATCACCCAAGCTTTGAAGCTGCAAGACCACTCAATGCTGATCAAGATGACCAACTGCAACATTCACACTTGCCTGAAATAGATAAGAGTTCTGGACATTCCACAAATATATAATGCTTACTTGTCTAGTTTTCAACAGACCTCTCAACCTCTGAGGATGCCTGCCATAGATGTGGGCAAAACATCAGGAGAAAATGCTTCTGGAACATGACCATACAGCTCAGAAAACTCAAAGCAACCCAATTGTGAACATTGTTCTGGACACTGTGGACACATCAGTGTCCCATAAAATATGAAGGAATAATATGCTTGCAAGAGGGCGATAATAGCAAATGCCTTTCAGCTGTAAATAATAATAATAATAATAATAATAATAATAATAATAATAATACCATAAAAACACAATGCAGAGCGGAAGAGAAAACTGGCAAAAGAAGGCTCTCCGTGGACAGTTCCTGGGAAAAATTGAGAGCCAAATTGTCAAAGAATAAACATGGTTGTGGCTCACAAATGGATATTTGAAAAAGAAGATGGAGGGCCTGATTCTGGCAGCCAAAGAACAAGCCATTAGAACCAATGCCATCAAAGCCAGAATTGAAAAGTTGATGGCAGATCCCAAGTGTAGGCTCTGCAAGCAAGCAGATGAAACAATAGATCACATTCTCAGCTACTGCAAGAAGATTGCACAGACAGACTACAAGCGGAGGCATAACACCGTTGCTCAGATTATTCATTGGAACTTGTGCCACAAATACCATCTGCCTGCAACAAAGAACTGGTGGGATCACAAGCCTGAAAAAGTTTCAGAAAATGAACACATCAAACTACTCTGCGATTTCCGAATTCAGACTGACAGAGTTTTGGAGCACAATACTCTTGACCTCACGATCATGTTAAAAAACAAAGTATGGATTGTCGATGTTGTGATCCCAGGTGACAGCAGGACTGAAGAGAAACAACTGGAAAAGCTGACACGATATGAGGATTTAAAGATCGAACTGCAAAGACTCTGGCACAAGCCAGTAAAGATGGCCCCAGTGATGACTGGCACACTGGGTGCAGTGCCTAAAGACCTTGGCCTGCACTTAAACACAATCGGCGCTGACAAAATTACCATCTGCCAACTGCAGAAGGCCACCCTACTGGGATCTGCACTCATTATTCGCCGATACATCACACAGTCCTAGACACTTGGGAAGTGACTGATGTGTGATCCAATACAACAGCCAGTGATCTTCTTTGCTGGGACTCATCTTGTTGTGTTTCAAATAACATTATTATTATTATTATTATTATTATTATTATTATTATTATTATTATTATTCTATATTGTGCCCTCTACCTGAGAGGACTCAGGGCGGTTTACACATAAGAAGGCAGACATTTAATGCCTATTTGAATACAAAACATATCAAAATACACAATAAAGCACAATAATAACAGTGGGTTAAACATTGAGAAAAAATATATATAACAGAATAGTCAGTAAGACATAATTAACTAAAACATAGACAAACATTACAACAAATACCCTCAAAACAGTTTAAAATATGGCAACTTGAAGGCATAGACACGCATAATAGATTGTACCATGTTGATGGAATTGGCATTCTTCACAAACACATCCAGGGAGAGGCAGAGAGTTAGCCAGTCAATCAATCAATCATTCAGTCAGTCAGTCTGTCTTCAATGCCACATGCATTGCCATCTTTGGTAAATTTTCATTTAAGGTTACTGGAATGTGCAGGGAAGATAACCCACCACTTCTGCCTAAAGAAGCCTACTAATCATTGAAGTGTTCCATCTGTAGATATAATCCATTGGATCCTGGTTTTTACAAATAATATCAAATTATCACACACCAGAAGCGGCTTGCAGTTTCTCAAGTCGCTCCTGACACGACAAAATAAATCAATAAATTTCAAACTTGTGGAATCAGTGAATGGACATAGTTGGTATTGTTAGGTTATATTTACAACAACCTCCTGTTATTATTGAAGAGTTTATCTTTACTGGTTGTATGTGTATTACAGAAGGATAAAACAAGATAAAAGGAGCTATATAAAGTTGTGTTGCATATTAGAAACTGCCAGTTCAAGTACGTAGAAATACTTGATTACACAATTTGCTCTTTTGGCTTGCAATTTGTGCAATTAATATATTTTAAATGCCACAATAACATGGCTTTTAGTTGCTAAGCGCAAAGAATGCATTCCCTTGAAGGCACATGCTTCTATTATCAGCTGGAAGCTGGTTTCATTAGGGTCCATTGTTCGTTTTGTTCTTTTTGCTTCCGTTTCTGAAAACATCACTGCTGAAAGAGCAAGAACTGGCAGAGCCAGCAGTAGGAAAATCCTGCCAACACACAATCTGAATGTACTTCAGGTTTCCATATATGATGCTACTCGTAATCTGAGTCTGACAGCAGGAAGAAAAAGGGGACTCTATGAAAATAATGAGGTTTCATGTTCTACTTGATTCCTGGATTTTCTTGTCTGACATTTTATCTGGCCCAGCTTTGGCTGAACAGATATGTCACACATCCGGCTTTAGGATATTTCTTATTATTTTTGTCCCATTGAGTGCAAATCCCTTCTTTTTCTGAGGCTCACCACAATATGCTGATAATGCATCAGTTCTTTTGTGAGCCGCCTTGCATCCCACTCCAAGAGAAAGGTAAAGGTTTCCCCTGATATTAAGTCTAGTCATGTCGAACTCTGGGAGGTTGTGGTACTCATCTCCATTTCTAAGCCGAAAAGCTGGCGTTGTCCATAGACACCTCTTGGTCATATGACTGGCATGACTGCTTGGAGCGCTGGTACCTTCCCGCAGAAGTGTTACCTATTGATCTACTCATATTTGCATGTTTTCGAACCTCTACGTTGGCTGAAGCTAGGCCTAACAGTGGGAGCTCACCCCACTCCCCGGATTTGAACATCCAACCTTTCGGTCAGCAAGTTCGGCAGCTCAGTGGTTTAACCCGCTGCACCACCAGGGGGTCTCCAAGAGAAAAGTAGCATATCTATATAAATAAAAATGTAATGTTCATTTGTGGGATTTACACAGTGGTTCTCAACCTGGGGTCCCCAGATCTTTTTGGCCTACAACTCCCAGAAATCCCAGCCAGTTTACCAGTTGTTAGGATTTCTGGGTGTTGAAGGCCAAAAACATCTGGGGACCCCAGATTGAGAACCACTGGATAAACATAACTCAAAAACCATTGGACAAATTGACATCAAATTTGGAAACAATACACGTATCAGGCCAACGAATGACCATCATTCATAAAAGCACCGAAAAACACAACAGAAAAGACTGAAAAAGCAAAAAAAAAAACCACAAAAAATACGTTACAAGGCATGTGCAAAACCACACATACACACACACATATTTATTATACACATACACATATACACAAATATATACACACACAAAATACATATACACAGACTGGGCCACAGCAATGCGTGGCAGGGGATGGATAGTAAATAAATAAGTATATACATCAGTTTTAAAATTTCTGGGATATCTTGAGAGGCTTACCTGTTGCCAACACTGCTTTCTTCCAAATACTAGGCAAAACTTTTAAAAAATTATCTGAGGCTTTTAAATTTTAAGCTTGTAAATCTTGCCATTTATTAAATGTCCTGTTGATGCTTTGAAAACAGTGGTGATGTAGGAATAGCTTAAATGAAAATAGCTTTTCAAATCAACATTTCTAACAATTATTACAAATTTTGTTTCAACCTAACCATGGTTAACATTAAAAATGGTGCTCAGGTGGTCTTTTAAAGTCTAGAATGGAAATCTTCCTGTTATTTTTAACTAGATCTGTACATGAATTCTTTTGGGAGACCCAATTAGAATAGAGCCTAGTGCAGCAGGCATGGGCAAACTTCAGCCCTCCAAGTGTTTGGACTACAGCTCCCACAATTCCTAACAGCCTACTGTGGGAGCTGAAGTCCAAAACACCTGGAGGGCCGAAGTTTGCCTATGCCTGGTCTAGTGAGTCAATATTTATGTTTTTTAATTTTTTCTATTTATTGATACATTTATTCAATTAACAAACTTTTGCCATACAAATCTTATCTCGGTATACATTATTCCAAAAGTCACTTTACTTTATATGACACTTTATACATTTCTTAGATGTGTAAACCTGTCAATTCTTGGATTCTGATTTTTTTATTTGCTAACAATGGAAATACTACAGAGAATTGTGAGTTGCCATACCAAGACTGTTAATGTTTTACAAGAGGCAGGGAATGACAGAGAGAGAGAAAGAAAACATGTAAAACAGTTTAAATAGTAATTATCTGCATGCACTTAAGAGTAAGCCTCATTGAGTTCAGAAGAATATTATCCCGAGTAAATCTCCATAGAATTGCGCACTCATTAAAGTATTTCTTATTTAATACATTTGATGCGATTCATTTCACACTTGTGTAGTGGGTTTGGTCCAGCAAATAAAAAATCTCAACCTCTATAGTGGAAAGGACAATGCAGATTTCTTTTTCAAAATAGTCAAGTGGTTGAGTTGTACATGGCCCTAAGAGTCTTGATTTTTGTTCCTTGGGACTTATTTTCTCTGTTTTTACAGAGTCTCAAGTTGATCCTTGTAATCATTGTCCTGGCAGATTAGTGCTCACAAACAGGGGGAATGGTGCTGCTTGCTAAATTATTCTGGGAGTATCAGCTCCTTTGCAACAACCCACAAATTTCCAACTTTGTTTCCTAGATTGCTGGATTATTATTATTTTTTGTCGTGTCAGGAGCAACCTGAGAAACTGCAAGTCGCTTCTGGTGTGAGAGAATTGGCCATCTGCAAGGACATTGCCCAGGGGACACCCGGATGATTTGATGTTTTATCATCCTTGTGGGAGGCTTCTCTCATGTCCCTGCATGAGGAGCTGGAGCTGATAGAGGGAGCTCATCCGCCTCTCCCCGGATTCGAACCTGCAACCTGTCGGTCTTCAGTCCTGCCGGCACAGGGGTTTAACCCACTGCGCCACCGGGGGCTCGATTGCTGGATGATACAGTACAATTTAATAATACACTTTATTTATATTCCGCCCTTCTCCTGTAGGGGACTCAAGAGTGGATTACAGCATTTTACATACATTGACAAACATTCAATGCCTTTCCAATTATAAACGATGGGACACACAGACACAAACAATATAATATTATATAATACTAATATTATGAATGATGTATTAGTACTATGCTAATAATATAGTATGTTTTATGTACATATGACTTGTAAGCCACTCTGAGACTCCTTCGGGGTGAGAAGGGCGGCATATAAATGTCATAAATAAATAAATAAACAAAGGCAGGGGCTTCTCCTTTTTCATTTCCGGCTTCTAGACACAGTGTTCATCTCTGGCTCTGGGAGATACTTGCCCCCATTTTCAGTCTGACTCATCTCCTGATTGTGTGGAGCATCTGTTTGCCACTGAAGTGGTACCTATTTATCTACTCACACATTACATGTTTTTGAACTGCTAGGTTGGCAGGAACTGGAGTTGACAAACGGGAGCTCATTCTGTCTCGTGCAGGGGTCCTCAAACTTTTTAAATAAAGGGCAAGGTCACTTTCCCTCAAACTGTTGGAGGGCCAGATTATAATTTGAAGAAAGCATGAATGAATTCCTATGCACACTGCACATATCTTATTTGTAGTGCAAAAAATACTTAAAAACAATACAATAATTAAAATGAAGAACAATTTTAACAAATATAAACTTATTAGTATTTCAATGGGAAGTGTGGGCCTGCTTTTGGCTGATGAGATAGGATTGTTGTTGTTTGTGTTGTGTGCTTTCGAGTCATTACAGACTTAGGTTGATCTTGAGCAAGGACCGGGTAAATGACCTTGGAGGGCTGTATTCGGCCCTCGGGCCTTAGTTTGAGGACTCCTGGTCTTGTGAATCAAACTGCCAACCTTCAGGTCAGCAGTTTAGCAGCACAAGGGTTTAACCCATCACACCACCATGGCCCCTTTGTGCCACCACAGCTCCTGAACAGCTGCCCACTTGTGTAGCCCCTATATGAAGTCCATCTGCATATATTATTTATTTATTTATTTATTTATTTACTTTGCTTATATACCGCTGTATCTCAAGCCCGAAGGCGACTCACAGCGGTTCACAAACAGTAAAAACAGTAGAAACAGCAGTGGTTCCATACAACATATAACAATTGACTTAACACATTATCCATAAATTACCAATAAGCAATTACAATGCACAATTATTACAAAAAACAACCGTACCCAATCTTCTCATCATCCAAGCGTAGTCCAGGTTCGTCGTCCATTGTTCCATTCCTATGTTCCATTACCAGATTGCACTAAATTACTCAAACGCCTGCACAAACATCCAGGTCTTCACCTTTTTGCGGAATACCATTAGAGATGGTGCTAGTCTAATGTCCGTAGGAAGGGCGTTCCACAGCCGAGGAGCCACCACCGAGAAGGCCCTATCTCTCGTCCCCGCCAGCTGAGCTTGAGAAGCAGGCGGGATCGAGAGCAGGGTCTCCCCGGAAGATCTCAAAGTCCTGGTGGGTTCATAGGCAGAGATGCGGTCAGATAGGTAGCTTGGGCCGGAACCGTTTAGGGCGTTAAAGGCCAACGCCAGCACTTTGAATTCAGCCCGGTAGCAGATCGGTAGCCAGTGGAGTTGGCGCAACAGGGGGGTTGTATGCTCCCTGCGCTCCGCTCCTGTTAAACCTGGCTGCCGAACGCTGGACCATTGGAAGCTTCCGAGCAGTCTTCAAAGGCAACCCCACGTAGAGAGCGTTGCAGTAGTCTATACGGGATGTAACCAGAGCGTGGACTACCGTGGCGAAGTCAGACTTCCCAAGGTACGGGCGCAGCTGGCGCACAAGTTTTAACTGTGCAAATGCTCCCCTGGTCACCGCCGAAACCTGGGGTTCCAGGCTCAGCGATGAGTCCAGGGTCACACCCAAGCTGCGAACCTGCGTCTTCAGGGGGAGTGCGGCCCCATCCAACACAGGCTGTAACCCTATGCCCTGTTCGGCCTTGCGACTGACCAGGAGTAAATGATATATATCTATCATTTTCCATATATGTTTCTGAAAAAATTTTGTATACTTGAGTTTCATGTAGGTAGGTAGTAGCTGCTATGTCACAGAAAGTTACTGATATGTTTGAGGTTCTTTCAGGATGGAATGAAGAATCCTTAACACATTGAAGGGGTCTCAGGTCTTGGGGTTACATCTAGTTTGTCTTTTTCTCTTGTGGGACTTCTTATTTCAGGAGAACTAGGAGAGGGTAATGACTACCTCAATTTTGGGTGACCCACCAGAGCAAATTTTGGGAGGGGAGATGTGTGTATAGGACAGAGAGCAGAAGACCGTCCCAATGTCTGCTCCTATGACATTAGATTAGTCCATGATCTCCACCGCATGTGGCTTCCTGAATCTTTCACTATTTTATAGGTGGAATGAACATCCTTATGTTATATTCTGTGCAGCTGCAATAAAATACTTTTTAGACAAATACGACTGTGTAAAGTGTAATAGTGCTGAGGTATTAAAAGTGGATCTGCTGCACATTAACAGAATTTGTGGGTTGAAATTATTTAATTACCTTTTGGTCATCTTAGGAGTAGGGAGTGGTAACTCAGGTTTTCTGTTTGCAAATTTAGAAACTGTTGGAGCATAATAATAAACTACTAATACTCACATTAATGCTGTTTCATCTTCCAGTACAGTTAAAAGCAAAGGCTCAGTAGTCTGGGATTTTTGCCCCAAACATAGTAATCATAAATCACTTACTTGTTTGACCATCCAGACTTTTCCTAACATAAATGTGATGGAACCAACTGAATATTGTACAAAAGGTAATTTTGATGAACTGCTCTGCAAATTTGATCTTTAATTTTCGGTCTCTTTTTTGTGTGTCTCTTTCCTTAGGCAGTGGCAATTCTGACAGCTACATATCCAGTGGGGCATATGCCATATGGCTGGTTGACAGAGATTCGAGCTGTTTATCCTGCTTTTGACAAGGTGAGCTTATTTTCTGAGAGGAGAGGCTTTGATTCCCTTTCAGATATGTGCTCGCCAAGAATGCTCTCTGAGAAATTGGTTTTATAGCTGTGTGAAACCTGTAGGAAATGAGACAACATGGAATGATATGAAACTTCAAATCACTCCTTGGCTAAGATCAAATGTAGAATCTTCCGAGTCCCGCTTCTGTTGCCACTGTTGATGCGACAGCCTTGGCTATATGTTTGTTTGCCTCTGCCTCGCTGTTTGCCACCCTGCCGTCTTTTGGTCATGCTGAGGTTTGATCATGGCCAAGTTGTGAGGTTCATTAGCTAATTTGTAATTTCTAATACAGTGACATTTAAATTCAGCATGTGACTTTTGTTATACCAAATGATAACCATGTCACCCAAATCTTCTGTCATGATCATCAAGTTCCAAGGGCCTCTGCTTTCCTTTGCTTCATTTAGTAAGTTTTAGTTTGGGTTTATTTACCTGCCAAAGAAATCTAGAAATCTTTCTGCTGATCCATTTTTATAGTAGGGATCATTTGCAATTCTACCCAGATAGAATAAATGCAACTTTCCACATTTTTCTAAAGATACACCTGCACTGTAGAATTAATGCAGTTTGACAGCATGTTAACTGCCATGACTCAATGCTATGGAATCATGGGATATGTAATTTCACAAAGCCTTTTGCTTTCCCTGCCAAAGAGTGCTGGTGAATCACCAAACTACAAAATCTAGAATTCCATCGTATTGTGCTATGACAGTTAAAGTGGTGTCAAACTGCAATAATTTTGCAATGTAGTTGCATCCTAAGTCTCTTTTAATTTCTTTTCAAACTTTTTCATAGTTGTTTATCAATAATAAACTGTTCTTCTTCTTGATTGTAACTCTCAGATATTTAATCCATCCTTTTCCACTTTAAAATTGGAAAGAGAAGTTAATTATCCTCTTTTGGGATCTTATTTTTAGTCATTGATTTTGTTTTATCACAATTCACTTTAACAATGGAACATATCTCAAATGACTTAATTTTTTCCAGAAAAATCTGCACTGAGCCCAATGGGTTTTTTGTCATCATCACAACATCATCCATATAAATTTCATCTTATATTGGTCTTTTTAAATCTTAACCCATAGGTTCTGTCATATTGTTTGATATCTCAGTAACATCCCAACACCAAAATAAAGGGGAGAGGACGCTACCTTGTCTAGCTTATTTTTGTATCTCACCCAATCGTGTTACATTACCATTTACTAAAATCTTAGTATAAATTTTGAGCTGAGTAAATTATCTGTATTGCCAGGATAATATTTTCACCAAACCAGCAATTCCAAAAATTTTATCAAATGCTTTCTCCATACCTAAAATATCTTTTTAATTGCTTCAATAAAATCCGTAATTGTCACAGGCTCATTTAGACATTGCTTTTGTTCCAGACATAATTTGTTCAATTGGAGTTTATCCAAGTAATCTTCCATATCTGGTATTTTCTCTTTGTTCCTCATATATAAGTATCTACAATATTGTTACACTCTGGCCTGAAGTCACCTTTGCACCCAGCACCACACAAGAGTCCAGTATTACTAACTAAACAGTTTATTGAAGAAAGCAAATATAAAAAGGCAAAAGGCAATGTAAAAACCAATGTCCAAAAAGCAATAAAAAAGGCTTTCAAAAAGCAATAGTCCAAACATGAAAGTTCAGTTCAAAAGTAACAAGGTACATGAAAAAAAATCATAAATCAATACATAGGCCTAAACCTATAACCAGACACACCGGAACTTCTTCCAAAACATGAATCCATGAGCTTGAGCCCAAGACTTTTCCAAAGATCTTAGACATAGACTTGAAAGTAGAACAAGATCCAAGGTGTACACAGTAACACAGTGTTGCCTGCTCTAATCCTTTCAGTAAACAACACTTTAATTTAAGGTCCTCAAACCATGAAATCATGCCTTTGACATTTGATCTGTTTCAAGGATTTCTCATAGAGTCTCTGTGTCCTCTGTAATCCGACTCCCTCCTCCTTGAGATCGAGTTTCAAACTCCTACTGACCTCAGGTGTTTTCTGAGGGGAAAGATGTTTTCCTTTCAGTTCCTTATCTTCCATTGCCATGGAATGACTGGGGAAAAGGTATTCCCTATCTTCTGATGCCCAAGCATCTCCATCTCTTCACTGTTCTGAAGCCTTCCCCCCCCCCCCCCCCCCCCCCGACCAGACACAGAGCCATTCTTGCAGACAGAATAATGATCCAGAATCACCTCATTTCCCACACTGGAAAACCCATCATTCCTCACAAGCTCTGACTGAACAATCCCCTCATCTTCAGCCTCTGGCTGCACTACAACAAATATTTCTAAATTTTTCAAATTCTCTATTACAGCCCAGTTTCTGTTCTAAACTCCCATTACTTTCTATCATACATTTATTCAAATCCAGCATCTGTTTAGATATCATGGATATTGTAATAAACATAGGATCATTTTTGTTTTACTCGTTTCTGTACAATTTTTTTGGTGGCCATGCTTATGATATTGTATAAATCACTCTGCTTAAATTCTGGCATCAGAGACAGCATTTGTTTTCCGTTCTCTGACATATACGCTCTCAAATAGAGCTTTTAATTGTTTGAGTCTTAGAGACATTAAATCCATTTCTTATTTCCAAATTGCCCCTTAATTTAATCTTCAGATTTTGAGTGCTATGCTGTCTGTCTGGGCACTTAGTTCCACTTTCCAAATACTTTATAAATGGAGACTGGACTTAGAATATTTTGGATGCAAATCATTTGAGTGTAATAAATCACCAACTGAAGGGGGGGTGGGGAATCTTCTTTCCTATTTAGCATGGCCTTCCAGGCTCCTTTAATGATGTTATAAATCTTTGTGCGGAGAAGCTTCTGTTTAGCCGACCTTAATGACTCTTGTGATTCTTCAGCTTTGCAGAGGGGAATGTTGTAATGGACATCTCTAACAGATGGTTCCCCAACCCATTTCTGATCTGGGGGGTTTTATCCAGGAGACAGCATTTATGCCCTTGTGGAATGATTATGTGTCTTTATATGCTTAAAGATCATAATAAATCCTGCAAAGTTAGAGCAGCATATGAATTATGCTGCTATATCCAGTTCTATCTAAATTTTAAAAGATCTCTCCAAGGTGCTGAACTTGTTTGGAATATAAGGTTTAGTAATTTGAGCATGTTCTTTAAAGATCAGCCTGAAATCCAGAGAGGAACCAACATGGTACTGAAATGGAAGCCACCAGCTATTTCACAAGAAATGTCATTATTATTATTATTATTATTATTATTATTATTATTATTATTTAATATACAAGAAGATTAGTACATAGCAAACAAGATCACTATGCCAGCTTTTGTATTGGATTACACATCGGACAGTTCCCAAATGTCTAGGACTTGGGGAATAACGCATGCAGATCTGAGTAGGGTGGCCTTTTGCAGCTGACAGATGGTAATTTTGTCAGCACTGATTGTTTTCAAGTGCTGACCAAGGTCTTAAGGCACTGCACCCAGTGTGCAGATCACTACTGGGACCACCTTTACTGTCTTGTGCCAGAGTCTTTGCAGTTCGATCTTTAAATCCTCGTATTGTGTAATCTTTTCTAGTTGCTTCTCATCAATCCTGGGATTGCAACATCAATAATCCATACTTTCATTTTTTAACATGATTGTGAGGTCAGGAGTATTGTCCTCCAAAACTCTGTCAGTCTGAATTCAGAATTATTATTATTATTATTATTATTATTATTATTATTATTATTTGATGCACAACAAGATTAGTACACAGCAAACAAGAAGGAATCCCACTGGAGCATTGCAGCGCACCCAAATAACTGGGAGTCACTCTGGACCGTGCTCTGACCTACAAGAAGCACTGCCTGAACATCAAGCAAAAAGTGGGTGCTAGAAACAATATCATACGAAAGCTGACTGGCACAACCTGGGGATCACAACCAGACACAGTGAAGACATCTGCCCTTGCACTATGCTACTCTGCTGCTGAGTATGCATGCCCAGTGTGGAACACATCTCACCACACTAAAACAGTGGATGTGGCTCTTAATGAGACATGCCACATTATCACGGGGTGTCTGCGCCCTACACCACTGGAGAAATTACACTGCTTAGCCGGTATTGCACCACCTGACATCCACCAGGAAGTAGCAGCCAATAGTGAAAGGACCAAGGCAGAGACATCTCCAGCTCATCCCTTGTTTGGGTATCAGCCAGCACGTCAACGACTTAAATCAAGAAATAGTTTTCTAAGATCTACAGAGACACTCGCTGGAACACCTCAGCAAGCGAGAGTTCAAAAGTGGCAGGCTCAAATCCAGAACCTCAACCAATGGCTGATACCAAATGAGTGACTCCCCCCCTGGGCACATAGAAGACTGGGCGACTTGGAAGGCGCTGAACAGACTGAGCTCTGGCACCTCGAGATGCAGAGCCAACCTTCAGAAATGGGGCTACAAAGTGGAATCCATGACATGTGAGTGTGGAGAAGAGCAAACCACTGCTGCAATGCAACATGAGCCCTGCTACATGCATGATGGAGGACCTCCTTGCGGCAACATCAGAGGCACTCCAAGTGGCCAGATATTTAATCAACTAACAAGTTTGCAAACTTTGTGTTGTTGTTTTTTAATGTGTTTGTTTGTTTTGTTCTGTTAGAAATGTAATACAATGGGCTGGTTGCCCCTGACCTGATAAATAAATGGCTTGAAGTGGGCAACAACATAGCTAAAAATGCATCATTATATAAAATACATTCTATGAAATACATATATTAAAAACACACAGAACAAAGATGAAAATACAGCAAACATAAGTTTAAAATTCTTGGTTAAAACTGACTGAGTAGGCCTGCCGGAAGAGATAAGGTCCCACCCACTGCATGTAGAGAAAACTATTTCTCCTTTTGTTTTTGTTTTTTGGATTTGCTTATGGATTTCTGGGGAAATAATATGCTTAAAAATACATTATGCCTCCCCCTCTTTTTTTTTTTTGTAAATCTCAAAATGGATTACAAGAAAAGTTGCAAACATGGATTGACCATTTCAGTAGGGTTTTTAAAAAATGTTTGGCCATACACAGCAATCCTGGAAAAAAAAAGGTATATTCATGACATAACCCATAGATAAAACAGCATGGACAGCTTCCTGGGAAGATTCCACTGGGATAGCTCCCTTCTGTCCATTAATTCTGATTTTCCAGAAGCTGCATCTGCATGTATAGATTGCGGGTTGAGGGGCGGTTCTGTTAGCATAGTGACACGTTGAATCTCCATGCAACACGGAATGTTTACAGATCATTAGAGTGAATAAGAGCCTGGTGTTCAGCACTTTGTGTTCTGTGGGGTGCTTTCTTTGCTAATTGGAGATATAATGAGTCAGGAGTTGTTGCAGTGATTTGCGCCTGATCTGTTCTTGGGAGCAAAATTAAAAAAAAAACCAGCACAAAGCTCAGGTTTGTCATGCATTGAACATCTGCCATAGCATCTCACTGCCACAAACTGCAAGGTTTTCTTCTGTAAACTCTCATGAAGAAGTGGAATAGGCAAATTAACTCTGAGACAACCTGCATGTTCACTGCTTACTTGGGAAAATGTCATTTTCTGTAGAGCTGCAGCTCTCAGCATCACTTACTATTGCCTATGTATCTAAGCCAAATGAGAGTTGTTGTAGAGCAGCTTTTGTTGAACTCAGTGCTTCTCAACCTTGGGTCCCCTGATGTTTTTGGCCTACAACTCCCAGAAATCCCAGCCAGTTTACCAGCTGTTAGGATTTTTGGGAATTGTAGGCCAAAAACATCTGGGGATCCCAGGTTGAGAACCACTGATAGATATTCTTGACCTTGATCTCTTTTCTTCCTTGTGTGAATTCTGTTTGAAAGCTGCACCTAACTGCATATGACCAACTAAAGCAGAAGTCCGCTGTGCCTGTATAATAATAATAATAATAATAATAATAATAATAATAATAATTTGGAGCACAATACTCCTGACCTCACGATCGTGTTAAAAAACAAAGTATGGATCGCCGATGTTGCAATCCCAGGTGACAGCAGGATTGCAGAGAAACAACTGGAAATCTTGACACAATACTAGGATTTAAAGATTGAACTGCAAAGACTCTGGCACAAGCCAGTAAAGGTGGTCCCAGTGGAGATTGGCACACTGGGTGCAGTGCCTAAAGACCTTGGCTTGCACTTAAACACAACTGGCGCTGACAAAATTACCATCTGCCAGCTGCAGAAGGCCACCTTACTGGGATCTGCAGGCATTATTTGCCGATACATCACATAGTCCTAGACACTTGGGAAGTGTCTGACATGTGATCCAATACAACAGCCAGCAGAGTGATCTTCTTTGCTGTTGACTCATCTTGTTGTGTTTCAAATTATTATTATTATTATTATTATTATTATTATTATATTTCTTACTCACCTCTCTTCATGGCTTGAGGCTGGTTACAGAATAATTGAAAAGCATAAACATTGTAAAAATATCACATATTAAATGTATTTCTATTAAAAAGATACATATTAAAACATATTTCTATAAAATACATATTAAAAGGCACAAAACAGATCAAACAAAGAACACACATTTAAAACCCATTCTTTATTATATATGACACTTGATCACATACAATGCATGCTTTATCACATATGATACTTCAAAAACCCATGTGTATAGTTCTATAGCTACCAGTTAAGTATTATGTACTCATTGTTTGCTGAAGGGCTGTGGTTCAGTCCTCAGTTGTGATCCACAGACATGTTTATAAAGTCTATGGTATGAACTATAGCAAAAAGAGGATTGTGGCAATACAAAATGCTTTTCGTTTCAATTTCTCTTAGTGGGAAGCTTTGCTGATACTTCTCAGTGAGCACCACTGGATTGTCAGCAGGTCTAATAAACAAAATTATGTCAATGTTCCTTTATTCCTTTATTCTGCAAATTCAGCAGCTTTTTGGAGGCAAAAAGTGGCTTCTTCTCCCCCTTCTTCATTGTTTATAGGTACATATGCCAGCAAATCAGTTACTTTATAGCATAATTCACAGCATAATTCTATGAAATTTACTTAGAATTAAGTGCCATAAGAATTAATAGGGTTTATACTCCCAGGCAAGTGGAAATAGAATTACAGATGCAGTTGCGGTGTTTCGGTAGAAACCTCAAATGTTAATGCTATTTTGTCTTCTTTTACTCTAGAATAACCCCAGCAATAAAATGGTGAACAGCAGCAGTACTGTCTCATCAACTCATATCAAAAAGTTCACCTTTGTCTGCATGGCCTTGTCCTTAACGGTAAGAAGTCAAAATACTATCATATCAGTTATTCTTGATTTTCTGTTTACCCCAGGGCTCTTCCACACAGCTATATAACACAGAATATCAAGGAAAATAATCCACAATATCTGCTTGAACTGCGCTGTCTGAGTCCTCACACACTGACACATGATCCACTTCAATGTGGATTTTATACAGCTGTGTAGAAGGGGGCCCAGGGTCTGTAGAAGTTGTTAAGAGTGGTACTGCACTCCCACCTCACTCTTTTTCCCCTCTTGTAGTCACTCTGTGAGACAGAGACTAGGTTAAGAGCCCTAAGTGAGTACGGGTCTTAATCCTGATCTACTGCTCTGCTCCTGTGACCCTGCAGTACTAAGTACATTTAAATTTAAATGAAATATTGGGGTTTACATGCTGGATCTTTCCCTCTCATGACTGAAAAACAGGCACTACACTTAGAAAACAACAAACACTGTGTTCTCATCATTGTATCTATTTGTCTATATGTGCATGCATATAGGTGTTGGTATGTGTGATGGAGGGCTGTATCTAATGTGATGGGAAATAAAAACTAAGGATTTTATCACACCAGGTGCCTCTCCTGCTAACATAGCACTTTTTAAATATTCTATGTAATCAGGATTACTCTCTTCCCAAACACACCATCGGAATCTGCCCATGCTCTAAAAGGTAATAATAATAATAATAATAATAATAATAATAATAATAATAACCCTTTATTTGTATTCCACCCTGTCTCCCCAAGGGAACTCACAGTGCATTACAGCATATAAACAAACACGAACACAGGAAAACATTCAGTGCCTAATACAATGAGACAGAAATTCACAGACAAAGGCAAAGCCTTCCCCTTTCATCTCCACCTTATGCTCTAAAAGGTTATCACACACAGTATTATTATTATTATTATTATTATTATTATTAATAATAATAATAATAACCCTTTATTTATATTCCACCCTATCTCCCCAAGGGGACTCAGAGCGCATTACAGCATATATACAAACACAAACACAGGAAAACATTCAATGTCTAATACAATGAGACAGAAATTCACAGGCAAAGGCAAAGGCTTCCCCTTTCATCTCCAGCTTCTGGAGGTGGTGCTCAACTCCATCTTGGGGGAGGTGCTCATCTCCATTTCCAAGCCAAGGAGCCTGCGTTGTCCATAGACACTTCTCTGATAGTGTGGCTGACATGACTGCATTGAGCACTGTTACCTTCCCACCGGAGTGGTACCTATTAATTTACTCACATTTGCATGTTTTTGAACTGCTAGGTTGGCAGAAGCTGGGGCTAACAGTGGGAGTGCACCCTGACCCACAGATTTGAACTGCCAACCTTCAGGTCAGCAGTTCAGCAGTACAAGGGTTTAACCCATTGTTCCACCACAGCCAATGGTGACCATTGGCCACCATTCAGTATAATCCAATTATGTCCCTTTTCTTAGTTTGGTGCACACATACATGCACACACACAAACACAAATAAAAACTCCTGAAATAAAAAATTAGGAAAGGGAAGCAGTTTTCTGATTCAAGACTCAATTAATCACTGGCAAATTCCTAGTTTACATGCTGGCATTCATCTGATAGCAGTTCATCTGCCTGTGATTAATCAAGTCTGGAATTTCACAACAAGAACAGTTGAAAAGATTTAATGAAGAATATTTTTTAATTGTGAGATTCGTATTTCCAAATATCTTGAGTGTGTTGGTATGTGTGTGTGAGAGAGAGAGGCAGGGGACAGTCATATGACAATGGATTTTTTTGTAAAAAGAGTTGAAAATGAAGGCAAATTGAAATGTCCACCTGGTCACTGATAAACAACGGGAACTGAAGCCACACCTAAAACCCATCCTCTGACCACCCCAAGTCAGCATTGACATGAAATTGAATTATTGCACTGCAAATGATAGCAGAACAGTACCAGGACTGATCATTCACTGAGTTTTTTCATTAAACAATCTCCCACCAAGAGAACAACAGAAAAGTCGACATCCAACTGGAGATGTGATTATCCTGCTCCAATTGCAATATACTGCCTTGTGTGACAAAACTCTTATAGTGCAAACTGTGAGCCAGAATTTTGAAATTTCCTGTTATCCATTTATTAATTCTTCTAAGGCAAGCTGTTGTCTCCCTGTTTCAGCCTCCTCAGCAGCTTGGGAAAAAAAATGCTGACCCGTAAAGATTACGTGGATCATCAATGCAAAACACTCTGAGCAGTCCAAAAAAAAAAAGACCCTTGTTAGGACACACAAATTATAGCAATTGCTTCATCCTCAGTCCTTGATAACTGAGCAGGTTGGAAACAGAGGTTTTTATTGTATGGACAGTGGTTCTGTAGTTAGTCTTGCCACTGACAGCACCTGTGCATTCTTGGCTGCCCTCACACTAGAAATGATAGATGGTTGCATAAGAATTCAGAACTGCACTGAATCACTGATGACTGTCTGCTGACTTTGACCAGTTCAGTCATTACTCATCTGCCTGTTCTTGCTCATTGTGGAGTCACATGATGGACTTTTGAAAAGTAAAGGCATATTTTTGGCATATTAGGAAAGAGATGGATATGCCTGGAAGAATCTAGCATAGAGAGAAGTACATTGCCAAAATATATGGTGACATCCACTACTTTTTTGTTGTTGTTAATTATCGTCAAGTCAATTTCGACTTAGGGTGATCCTGTGAATGAGAGACCTCTAAGTCACCCGATCATCAGTGGTGACTTGTTCAGCTCTTGCAGATTCAGCTCAGCAGCTTTACTGATTGAGTTAGGTAAAGGTTTCCCCTTGACATTAAGTCTAGTTGAGTCCGACTCTGGGTGCTCATCTCCGTTTCTAAGCCGGAGAGCTGGCATTGTCTGTAGATGCCTCCTGGGTCATGTGGCCAGCATGACTGCATGGAGCACCGTTACCTTCCCGCTGAAGTGGTACCTATCGATCTACTCACATTTGCATGCTTTAGAATTGCTAGGTTGGCAGAAGCTGGGGCTAGCAACAGGAGCTCACCCCGTTCTGCGGATTTGAACCACCAACCTTCCGGTCAGCAAGTTCTGCAGCTTAGTGGTTTAACCCACTGTGCCACCATGGCCCCTATTCAGGGCCAATGCTTCACTGATTGAGTTAGGTAAAGGTTTCCCCTTGGCATTAAGTCTAGTTGAGTCCGACCCTGGGTGCTCATCTCCATTTCTAAGCCATAGAGCTGGCTTTGTCTGTAGATGCCTCATAGGTCGTGTGGCCAGCATGATTGCATAGAGGGCCATTACCTTTCTGCCGAAGCGGTACCTATTGATCTATTCACATTTGCATGTTTTAGAATTGCTAGGCTGGCAGAAGCTGGGGCGAGCAACAGGAGGTCACCCCGTTCCACGGATTTGAACCACCGACCTTCTGGTCAGCAAGTTCTGCAGCTTAGCAGTTTAACCCACTGTGCCACCATGGCCCCTATTCAGGACCAATGCTTCACTTATTTTATTTATTGTGTCAGGAGCAACCAGACATTTGTATTACATTTTTAACAAAACAAACAAAGAAACAGATAAAAGTTTGCAAGCTTGGTAGTTGATTAAATGTCCTTTGACCAGTATCTGGTCACTTGGAGTGCCTCTGGTGTTGCCGCAAGGACGTCCTCCATTGTGCATGTAGCAGGGCTCAGGTTGCATTGCAGCAGATGGTCAGTGGTTTGTTCTTCTCCACACTCGCATGTTGTGGATTTCACTTTGTAGCCCCATTTCTTATGATTGGCTCTGCATCTCGTGGTGCCAGAGCGCACTCTGTTCAGCACCTTCCAAGTCGCCCAGTTTTCTGTGTGCCCAGGGGGGAGTCTCTCATTTAGTAACAGCCATTGATTGAGGTTTTGGGTTTGAGCCTGCCACTTGTGGACTCTTGCTTGCTGGGGTGTTCCAACGAGTGTATCTGTAGATCTTAGAAAGCTATTTCTTGATTTAGGTCATTGACGTGCTGGCTGATACCCAAACAAGGGATGAGCTGGAGATGTCACTGCCTTGGTCCTTTCACTATTGCTTCACTGATCGAGTTAGGTAAAGGTTTCCCCTTGACATTAAGTTAAGCTGTGTCCGACTCAGGGTGCTAATCTCCATTTCTAAGCCGTAGAGCTGGCATTGTTTGTAGATATCTCCTAGGTCATGTGGCCAGCATGACTGCATGGAGCGCTATTACCTTCCCGCCGAAGCGGTACCTTTTAATCTACTCATATTTGCTTGTTTTAGAATTGCTAGGTTGGCAGAAGCTGGGGCTAGCAATAGGAGCTCACCCCGTTCCATGGATTTGAACCACTGACCTTACAGTCAGCAAGTTCTGCAGCTTAGCAGTTTAACCCACTGCACCACCATGGCCCCTATTGATTGAGTTAGATCATTTAAAAAGAGAATGAGGAGGAGAATGAAGCTAATAATGTCTACAAGTTATATCTCCTTGTTCGCATTGATGTATATGGAGAAATGAATATCAAGCTGTAATAATGTAACATTTTGATGGACTTAAAATGGTCTACTCAGTCTTCAGTTTCCATATAAGTGGATGAAATATGATACATTTTAGATTATTACTTCCTGTATTGTAATTTGTTCTGCAGGGTTTCAGGCAGGAATCTTTCCTATATTGGAATGATTAAGGAGCTTGCCGTTTGTAAAATATGTCTTTTTCCTTTACAATTGAGCTGAAGCATTTTTGTATTTTTCTAGTATTATAGATGAAACCTTAGGGACAGTGTCCAGTTGTGTATGAGTGAGCAGGTATAGCCTTTCAGATGGTCTTGGACTACAGTGTCTACCTGTCCTAGCCATCATAGGCATTGGTGAGAGATTATGGGAACTCAAGTCCAGCAACATCTGTAAAATTGAAGTTGCCCACTCTTTCGCCAATCTTCTACCATTGTCTTCAAAGCAGAAAAAAGAGATCAGTATATAAATAACAAAAATAAACACTAGACACAAAACACGTGAAGCAAAAATAGATCTGCATCAGTCTTTCTG